CCAAAATCCCAATTATTCTTTTCATGGTTGATTCTGCCAGTGTGCAGCACTTGTTTGCTGGATTTTTGTTCATAAATATATCCCATGTTTATGGTGTGGGAGCAAACTTCTTTACATATCTATTCCCAGACTTTCTTGCCATGCCACTTTTCCATAAATTATAAAGTCACTGAATCTCCCCATTGGCATCTAAGTCAGACCTCTAAAGGCCCCCCAGCTGGCAGTGTAAATTGTGATATGGGAAGAAGAATCCACCTGAAGAGTCATTACGCAGCTTTCAACACACTAGCTAAATCTTCTAATTATAAACCCCTACAGGACAGTGTCAGTACTTGAGTTGCTCGATGCTGCTCTCAACTGATGCCAAGACAAGGTGACTATGATAAGCCATCATTCGACAGACAGTTGATTATAAAAGGGCGTTACTTAGCAAAGATAACCCTTTCCCATTTCATGATGTCAGCAATGGCACCACATGGAAGAGAAATGTCACAAGGCCTGAGAAAGAAAATAATTTCTTTACACAAGAAAGGTGAAGGCTACAAGAAGATCAGCAAACTTTTACTTATCAGTCAGAATACTGTAGCAAAAGTGATACAAAAATTTAAGAAAGATAGAACTGCAACTATCTCACAGAGACATCCAAGCTGTTCACTAAAGTTAACACCTCGACAGGTGCCAAAGCCAAACTGGGGTGATTGTTTCTCATGACACAATACAGCGAACACTGTAAAGGAATGGCATGCATGGGTGCCATCCACAAAGGAAGCCTCTCCTAAAGCCCATGCACAAAACATTCCACTTTGAATTTTCCAGGGCCCATGGTGAAAAATAAGATTACTGGGACTCTGTATTCTGGATTGATGAGAGCAAGATAAATGTTTTTGGAACTGATGGCTTCCAAACTGTATGACTTCACAAAGGTGAGGAGTAGAAAGAAAAATGCATGGTGCCTACAGTGAAACATGGTGGTGGCAGTGTCATTCTGTTGGGCTGCATGAGTGCTGATGGTATCAGAGAGCTGCATTTCATTGATGGTATCATGAATTCACAGATGTACTGCTCTATGTTGAAAGAGAAGATGCTACCGTCACTCCATGCCTTTGGTCGTCGTGCACTTTTTCAACATGATAATGATCCAAAACACACATCTAAGGCCACTGTTGCATTTCTGAGGAAGAACAGGGTGAAAGTGATTCAGTGGCCAAGTATGTCTCCTGATCTGAACCCAATCAAAAACCTATGGGGAATTCTGAAGAGACAAGTTGAGCATCACTCTCCTTCTAGCATCCAGGCTCTAAAATAGGTCATTCTTGAAGAATGGAAAAAGAGAGATGTTGCAATATGTCGCTAACTTGTTCATTCCATGCCTAGAAGACTTCTTAGAAATCATAGAGGTCATACAAAATACTAGATGTAGTAGTTTTTGTTGTGGGGTGTATTCATTTTTACATCAACTAATTTGAGTAAAACTGAAGGTTTTGTAATCTAAGTTATATTGTTAACCTCACTTTCATGTAATGAGCTAAACAAATGTTCTATAAAACTCCATTTTGCCCATTTTTTGGAAAATGTTCCTGTGTTCATTGAGATATTGATTAAAATCTTACTTTTCATAAGGGGTGTACTCATTAATGCTGGGCACTGTATGTAGGAAAAGTTTAGTTGAAAGACGAATGTACCCCTGGATGTGATTCAGGATGTGAGATGAATAGTAAAGCACAGTAGATATAAAATTTCTAAGCTAATAAGCAAGTGATTTTCAAACAAATGGCATCTGGTGCAGGGCACTGTCCTCATGAACATTTACCAAAGCGAAAAAAAAAAGCTTGGTGGGGAATAGGGATTTTAATAATTCAAAGGTCCTTTAAATAACATGCTTGGGAGATACCCTTAACCTTCCTGTGAAGTGGCATATCTATACAATGTACAATCTGTACAACCTACTATAACAAAAATGACATTTACAAAGTAAAAGAAATCTTTTTTTTTTTTTTTGGCAAAGTACCTTGTCTCCATGTTGATGAGAAAAAGGGTCTCTTCCCCACAACCTTGGTCTGGTGGATGAGAGGGTTTGCAGGCAGTGTTATTAGAATCTGGAACTCCCCTTTAAAAATTAGGGAAACCCCAGATGCTTTAAATGAGTAAGTGGTACATATAACTGCAACTCATTCACAAAAAAGAGTATATATAAAATAAAGACAGCTTTTAACAAGTCCTTTTATTAAAAATAAAATGGCGTATATTCCATGAATTAGTAATAATTTAAAATCTACATTGGAAAATAACCTAGAAAAAGTGCAGCAAGCAAATGATAAGAATTCTGTGTAGATATTCTAATCAATAAATTTAGTGGAGGAAGATATGCAAAAAGATTTACAGAATTTGGAATCCAAGGAACTTACCATAATTAAATGCAAGATCTTAAAAAAATTATTAAAGAAATCTTTGAAACTAAGGAATCTAAAATTGAAAAGGATTAGCTGACATAAAAAGCAAAAAGAGCATATAGATGGGGCTGAAACGTACCTCTAAGAATTTGTTTAAATGAAAAACTCCAGTTACAGATACAGCAACAGAAGATACAAGGTTGGAATGTTCTTCATTTACCTCAAATTCAGAGGTTAGTAAGAAAATATGCAAACAAAAAGCAAAAAAACACAAAGGATTCCTTATCAGACTCATTCAGACCTAACAAGTATAAAAAGTAAGAAGGTCAAATCTCTGACTCTTTACCAAATAACACTATTTTGACACAAAGCAAAAGACATCTTTTACCTTTTTTTCTGAAATTTTGAAAACACAAGATCTAGTACTTCAGTCATATTTCCCTACTTCCACTATAGGATATGGCCAATATCCATAGCTTTTTGGAGGGTCTTCCTCCTCTTTGAACTGTATTTCACAAACACCCTATCCATTGTTTCACTGAGTATGACAATAACCAAGTTGTCTGTTCTTTTTGGTCATGAATCCATAACACGGGCCACAGTCTACTGTTCTTTTGATTCTTATTGGCACAATTGCTATAAAACTCAGGTCTAGCATTTGCACTTATAAAACAGATATAACAAAACACTTTCAATTATTAAATATGCAACAGACCATAAAGAGCAAACAAGAGAGGATCATTGTTAGGGTTTTCTCAGCAAGTTTACATTTGAGCTATTCGCAGTCATAAGACTCTGAACCAGGGGCGGACTGACAACTCATGGGGCCCCCGGGCAATAGGGGATCATGGGGCCCCTGTGTCCTTGCTCAAACTCAAAAAAGCCTAGGAAAAAGGTACCTGGGGCATCTCATGGTGCCCCCTACTGACCCCAGGCCCTCGGGCAGTGCCCGAGTTTCCAATTGATCAGTCAGCCCCTGCTCTGAACTTATATACAGGGGAGATTTACTGGAGCACTCAAAATCTGGTGCAGCTGTGCATGATAGCCAATCATCTTCTCACTTCAGCTTGTTCAATTAATCTTTGACAATATTACCAGCAAACTGATTGGTTATTATGCAGAGCCGATTTTGCACTCTCCAATTTTAGTAAATCTTTATATATATATATATATATATATATATATATATATATATATGGAACATTCATGTCTAGGGCCAGTGTATGCCCTATTCATATTTTTTTCCCTGAAGTCATGTTGACAAAACTGAGTAATCTAATACAGACCTAATACAGAAATTCCAAGAAAGGAAGTTAAGAAAAATATCTCTAATGCACACAGAGAGCTTACAAAAACAACCTCTCAGACATTTCTCATTCTATCCAAAACCAAAAAGACATACTTTAGCTGATGTTAAAGTGTTACTAAACCCATGACCCTGCATTCACTATACCCTGTTTTCCACAGTACACAGAACATGGAAATGCAACTATTGTATTAAATATAAACTGATAAATACAATTTCTCATAAGCAGTATATAGCAGTCTTGTAACTTCTATCAGTGTCCAACTGAGCACTGGTTAATCTTGTAGGAGGCGTTTTCATTCTCCTCTGACTGTCCTATGAGGCTGCATAACCCCTGACCCTCTGTTTGGACAGCACTGATTGGCCCTGTGCCGACCACAGGCACCCTCCCAGAAAAAAAAAAAAAAAAACATTATAGCAATACACACCAAACAAAGCATGTGTAGTTTTGCCATTGCTGCAGATGGATTCTGGACAGCAAAAGAAGGGGAGGATCAGAAAAGACAGGGTTAAAACAGCCTTTTTACACAATGCAGAGGATTAACCACTTAAGTTCCATAGTAAATATAACAAGCGTGCTTTACTGCATTTACAGACTGATTTTACTGTTGTGGGTTTAGTAACACAGAAGTTTTTCAAAAATTATATTTAAAAGTATATATGCAGCTGTCAACTTCCAGTGATATCAATGACAATCTAGTCAGGAATGTGACTTTCAGGTATTATTACAGGTTTTTTTTCTCAAATCTAAAGTTTTAATTAAAAAATCTTATCTTTGACAGAAAATCTCCAAATAGGCAAACATATGTGGACACTGAGAACTCTAAATAGCAGTACAGCAAAAACACACCCTCTTCCCTACATCTTAACTACTTGCCCTCCAGAGGATTTACCCCCTTCCCTGACCAGGACATTTTTTGTGTTACTTTAACTGACAATTGTGCGGTCATGCAACACTGCACCCAAATTAAATTTACGTCCTTTTTTCCCACGAATAGAGCTTTCTTTTGGTGGTAGTTGATCGCCTGTGCATTTTTTTTTCACTATAAAGGAAAAGAATGACAATTTTGAGAAAAAAAACAATATTTTTGACTTTTTGCTATTAAACATGTCCAGTAAAAAAAATGTTAAAAATCAAATTTCATCATAAATTTAAGCCAAAATGTATTCTGCTATATGTCTTTGCTAGAAAAAAAATCCCAATGCTTGTAAATTAAGCGGTTTATGTGAAAGTTAGTGTTTACAAATGGCATTATATATATTGGGATTTTTTTTTCCCTAGTAAGGGCGCCGATCTGCGACTTATAGCAGAACTGCGGCTGGCATTCTGACACTGGTGGGAACTGACTTGGTGTCAATGACATCCCCAGTGACACCAATACAGTGATCAGTGCTAATAAAAAGCACTGACACTGTACTAATGACACTGAGCAGGAAGGGGTTACCATGTGGGGTGATCAAAGGGTTAACTGTGTGCTGTTTTACTATGGGGCTGTGTGTGCTTTACACTGTAAGCACACTGCTATGCAGAGCCATACAAAGCAGTGTGCAGGAGCTGACAGGAGAAAGAACTGTATTGTTTACATACAGTTCTCTCCCTCTGCTGGCAATGCTTCACGATCACCGGGTGGCGGTGAGTAATCACCAACCGGGACCTGGTGATTGACAGCTGAGGCTGAAAATAGCAGCACAGGTAGGGCACGCAGGTCGCGCATGCTCCCTAACCAGAAATGCAAAATCACGTATATATACGTGATTTTGCACACCCCTGCTGCCCTGTAGTAGTATATCTGCTATAGGACAGCAGGAAAGCGGTTAATAAATAGTAAAACAACCAGTACACTCTTCGATTCTTCTGCGTACCATATTTACTTTTTCTGTATTGACAGCCTAGACATTTATTTAAAAATTGAATATGATTCTTGTAAGATAAGCTTAACCTCAAGGAAAAAAAAATCATCACAGTTAACTTCATTTAATATGGCTCATATAGTCTAATTTTTCTGACATTATAAAAAGTTAGTATAGCCTTTGAACACTTGTAACTAAGCGACCAAGCAAATCATAGAGTACCCACGTATGACTGTGTCAGTCACTTATACAACAAAATTAGACACATAAATAAAAGATTCTTCATTTATTGTCTCTTTTGTCTTTCTTTTATATAACCTTTGTTTCATGTTCCATTGTAATAGAAGAACAAAAGAAAATCTGAACATGAATACTAAAGCATATGTATTTATAGTTACAAATGAACATCACAGTTCTAATTCATAACTAATATACAATGCTTATAATTCAAGGATGTGACGTCTTTTTTTTAATCCAGACTCCCCCTCTGCTGGGTTATACAGTTTTGTATACTTGAAATCTAATTGAAATGGGTATACATCGTTTTCTGTAAGTATGTTTGTGCTGTATCTGTACTGCTGACAAAATGATACCCAGCAAAACATTATGCTTTCTTTTTCATGTTTTCTTTTGGCGGTATTATGAATACATTATAAAAAAAAACTGAAAAATAAAAAGAAATAAAACAATCCAGTACAATGTAATACTACAACATTCTTGATAGTTTTCTCTAGATATTTGTGCTGTTGGTATTGATTTTTTTTTCTTTTTGAAATACAATACTACAGCTTAATAAGTGCTACGGGCCATTTAAAAACATGATGCAAGCCTGTAAAAGAAATAATACAGTGAAAAGCAGACAGTGAAGAAATACAATTTATGGTGCTACTGGACTGACCAATATCTGAGCTCTTTAAATCAATACAATAATTGAATATATGACCTCTGGAGTACAGAAAGTGCAGAATTGGCATGGGCATGCCATCAACATATCAAAAATGAATTACTGCATCACTACTTAAAAAACATCAAATTAAAGTCAAAGTAAATTACTTCAGCGTTTCAACATGCTATTAAGTGTTTTGATGTTCTTCGAACTATTAAATTGTAAGATGTAGCAATGCATCTTGGAAACAGAATTTAACATAGAAAGGTTACATAATAATTTTCTAAAATAAAAAATAAAATACAAATTATATTTTTTAAGGTAACATTAGGTTTAGATCCATCAGAACATAACATAGACATGCTGATAGCGGTGACATAAAAATTAATCAAAAATGACATATGTAGATTGTGTAAGCATTTACCCGTGTGAGTCAATACTTGTTAGAACTATTTTAGCTGCAGTTACAGATGAGAGTATTTTGAAAAAGGTCTGTACCAGATTTATACAAAATGGATCCTGCAGTTTTTGCCAGTTCTTTTACTGCAATATTACTATAGCTTTGTCAGGCTGGATAGGAATGGTTGGTGAACAGCAAATACTGACAAATGTGAAATTGGTTCTGAGCTTTGACTGGACCCTTCTAAAACATCAGGGTTCAATGATACTACGACTGTTTTGAGCTACCCATTTTATGGCGAGGGGGTCTGGGTTATCCATCATTCCCTATCATGCTCTGGGAAATGGAAATGGAAACAAAACCTATTGCACCATTATGTTCTCTTTTTTGTTCCTGAGTGTACTGTATGCTCTCATGGAGATATGAGAAAGAGTGGAGAAGTTCATCGTAAGAGCTTGGGCTGCAAAGTTGTTTGTCTGTGATTATTATTATCGGAAGTGTCTGAAACATCACCATATCTATTTGGACATCGGGTTCATTGCTCCCAGAGCACAAGCGCTGTTGCTGGTTTATAATCTGACCAGCCATTAGCTCTGGTGAGTTCATTTAATCTCCTTTGGTGGTGGATTTTTCACAATTGGTTCAAGTAACTGAAGATATATATATATTTTTTTGGACTCTAATATATATATATTTTTTTTTGGACACTAATTTATGTTTGGACACTATAATTATTTATTTAAAACACTAAATGTTTTTTTTAGATGATGATATACACCTTTGTATAAGTCTGTTATTAGCGCATACTTTTTAATTAGAATAATAATAATAATCTGACAATAGGAGTTGTCGTTCATTGTCAGCCTATGAAAGCCCTGTTCATTGCAAGAAATCATGGGAATTGAACATAACAATGAGATTAAGGGGCATGTTTATAAATAGCAGATACATTTAAGTACATTTTCCCACCTGCATTTTCTGGCCAGCCTTTCAAAGGCATTTGCTATACAAGTAGATTTGTATTAGTTATATTGAAAATTTGAAGTGAGCGCAAAGTGTGAATGCAAATAAGGATTTTAGGTTAACATTCAACTTCACTTGCAGTGCATCAAATATCCAGCCTGTCTGCATTTGATGAGCATCAAAATGTTTTGGCGCGGCTTTAAAAAAAAAAATCAGCGAATCACCATCAGCTACAGGCAGTTCCCGCGTTACAACCAAGATAGGTTCTGTAGGTTTGTTCTTAACCCCTTGACACCGACGGTAAACACAAATATGCGACCTCACAGTACTGGGCTTTTTTCTGCTGGGCCGCATATTTGCGTACCGGTCTTTCTGCTGGGAGCGCACCACACAGCACGCTCCACAGCACAAAGACACGGTGTGTCACTTAGAGCCCCAGATCCCATTCTAATGATCAGACTCATAGGCCTTGATTCACTATTGGGCGTGGGTGCTATTCATGGGCTTAAGCCCACTTTTCATGGGCGACCGTCTATTTTTTTTACCCTGCAAACAAATTCACTATTGACCAGCGCCCATAAGCAGATGTCCAATCTAATTCACAAAAAGACCACACGCCCGGAATCAGACTCACAAAGCAGACTTGCTAAGAAGCACGTCTAACACCATGAAAAATCACTGCAGAGACATGTTCACTTAGAAATTTGCTTTGGCCAAATATCAGGGACTTCACTTTAAACAATATCTGCTATTTCCACAAAAAATTAAGAATGTGTTAAAAAAATCGTTTTTTTCAAGGAAATATCAACACAGTAAAAATCTAGACGCCCGTGCAGTGTCTTTGGCAGATAGAACTGAGCATGTGCAGAACACATTTTAGACTTCTGCATGGGCGTTTGTTTTTTAGCCTGCTGCCTAATATAGTGAATCTTACTGTGGATTCCTCTTGACAGCCGGCACTCGGTCGTGACTACTCTGTTTAATAAACAGCACTCGGCATATCTTCATGTAATCTAACTAGATTTCCTTAGTTTCTAGTGATTTTATTTTTGTTTCTTATCCTTTATAATTATTTCTGTAATGATTTTACTTATTTCAAAGTCTAGATAATATTTATTTTTACAGCTGAATGTAAAAATAAAGGTCCACGAATAAAAAAAATAAAAGGTCCACAACAAAAAACAGCGTGTGGTCCCTCTCATCCTTACAAGCCCTTAGGTTGGTATGGATATTAAGGGGGGACCTCCCCGCTGCAATTTAAAAAAAATAAACAAGCGTGTGTCCCCCTCAATATCCGATACCAGAGCTCCTATGCCGGCATGCTGCACGGAAGGGTTCAGGAAAGGGGGGGGGACGTGCAGAGCGCCCCCCCCCCTCCTGAACCATACAGCCACATGCCCATACAAAAATTATTCAAACTTTGTAAAC